AGTACATGTATGAAGACACGAATGGTGTGAATATACTTTGTATACAACCAGAGATATGAAAACTTGAGCTCTATATATGTAATATGGATTGTAATACATTCTGTTGTCATATATAACAAATCAGAATTTAAAAATTATTAATAATAATATGCCCAAAAAAGGAAAATAAATTAATGGGAAACTGTGGTAGAGTTCTTCAATAAAATAATAAGAGAGATTTTGTCCCATCCAAATACATATTAAGGAAGTTGGAAAAATATTTTTCTCTTAATATGTTTTTGGATATATAGATATATATGTATCTGTATACACACACACATATATCTATTCACACACACAAATATATGTATTTTTTGTTTGTTTTTGTTTTTAGTTTTTGTTGTTTTTGGTACTAGGGATTGAACCCAAGGTGCTTTACTACTGAGCTACATCCCCAGCCCTTTTTATTTTTTGAGACAGGGTCTCACTAAATTGCTTAGGGCCTCACAAGTTGCTGAGGCTGGCCTCGAACCTGAGACACTCCAGCCTCAGCCTCCTGAGTTATTGGGATTACAGATGTTTGCCACTGTGCCCGACCAGATATGGTTTTAAAAAATATGCAGAGAAACAAAACTAGTGTAATAAAAGATTGAGAACTCAATAACAGAGTTCAATCAATAACAGTAAAACATCACAATAGTTATCAAAATTTTATGAAGTACCTGGTTCCATTGGGTTTACTGGAGAACATTTTTTATTTTCAAAATCCTATAATAATTACATTATTAAATATATACCATTGGCCACATAAAAATATGGCATACTACAAAATTCAGTCTTATCCTGGGCTTTAAAATTTTCACAAATATTATGACAATAATCCTTTTACTTGTATTTCCCTTTCCTCTGTGGTCTTTAATAATATTACATTTTTATGAATTACAGTCATCAAATGAACAGAATTTTGCATTGTTTTATCTATCATTTCTCCAAATTTTGGAGAAATGTTGTCACATTTATAATTATATATTTTAAAGGCCACATTACATTTTGCCAAGCATAGGCATGTCAATTGGTCATTTCTCAACTGTGAAATTATTATTAATCATAAATTATAATCATAAATCATTTACTCAACAAATATTAATTGGACATCTATCATTTACCTGGCACTGTGCTAAATCCAAAGAAAACAGTAGTGAACAAAGCAAATGTGGTCCTTGCTATTGAGAGCTTGCTGTTTAGGGGAGGTAGAAAGTAAATAAGCAACTACTATGTGCGATAGTTTAGATCATCAAGGGAGCTTAAGATGTTAAAGTAGGACAGAAGAGGCTGTACACCTTGAGGAATTTGCAGGAGGCAGGATTATTGACTACAGGATTCAGAGGTGGCTCTTGCCTAAGAATTCTTCCTCTGAACAATGAGTATAGAAATTCTTTGAACGTTATACCCAGTTTGGTGGAGGGCAGCTAGCAGGTTCATATGACAATCATGTTTCATTCCATCCTCTAAACAGAGGTTTCAAAAGTTTTTCTTTTTTTTCCCTCAAACCTGACATTCATTAAAAAAAAAAAAGAGGAAACTACCAACTACAACGCCCTTCTGCAGAAGTTTTGCTGATAGAAAGCTTTTTGAAGAAGAGGAACTTCCATGTTACAAATATAGTGAGGGTTTCTGCTTAATTATGGTAAGGGTCTTCTGGGTGGGGAGTGGTCTCTGGCCTGCTTCAATGGAACCACATGGTAAAGCTGTCAATTGTCCCTCAAATTGACATGTAGACGTCACACAATTTTTATCAGAATCCCTGAAAGACTTCTTTTTACATATAGACAAAATTTTTTTTATGGAAAAGCATGGAAACTAACACAATAGCTAACATGATATTTCTAAAAAGGAGAATAGAGTGGTGTTGATATTGTAGCTCAGTGGTAGAGCACTATGTGAGGCACTGGGTTTGATCCTCAGAATGGAAAGAAAGGAAGAAAGGAAGAAAGGAAGAAAGGAAGAAAGAAAGAAAAGATGTTAAGGTATTGTGTCCATCTACAACTAAAAAAAATTTTTTTGAAGGAATAGTACACAGAAGAATGATTCTAGAACTTTTTCCTTAAAAAAAAGAATAAAGTATAAGGAATCACTCTATCTCATATTAAGATTTACTATATAGCCAGTGGCACAAGCCTGTAATCCCGGTGGCTCAGAACAGAAGGCTGAGGCAGGAGGATCAAGAGTTCAAAGTCACCCTAATCAACTCAGGGAGACCCTGTCTCTAAATAAAATAAAAGGAGGGAGGGGCTGGAAATGTTGCTCAATGATTAAGCAAGCTTGGGTTCAATACCCAGTGTCAAAAAAAAAAAAAAAAAAGATTTACTATATAGCTTCAGTATATATAGAGTGTGATACTGGCAAGCAGTACACATAGATTAATGGGACAGAACAGAGAACCCAGAAATAGTCCAACACAAGATAGCTAACTGATTTTTGACAAAAGCATAAAAATAATTTAATAGAGGATGAATGGTCTTTTCAAAAATGGTGCTAGAGCAATTTAGATGTACACAGGAAAAAAATCAAACCAAAACCTGGTGCAATAGCACAAGACTAATACCAGATACTTGGAGGTTGAGAAAGGAGGATCACAAGTTCAAGATCAGCTTGGGCAACTTAGCAAGACTGTCTCAAAATAAAATAAAAAGTAGTAGGGATATAGCTCAGGGCTTGACTACCATGCATGAGGCCCTGGATTCAATCCCCAGTACTACAAAACAAACAAAGATTAAAACTAACCCTCACGTCTTAAACAAAAATTAATTCAAAATGGATTGTAAAATTATGAAAGATTTACAACAGGTGAATGGTTAAATAAACTGTGGTCTATCTATATCACAGAATATCACTCAGAAATAAAAAGGAACAGACTCTTGATTCACAAAACAACTGGATGGATTTTAAAGACACCCTGAGTGAAAAGAGTCAATCTCAAAAGGTCACATGCTGTATTATTCTATTTATATAACATTCTTGAAATTACTAACCTATAGAGTAAAAATTAATAAAAATAAATTAAAAAGAAAGATAGAAAGAAAAGAGCTGGACATGGTGGCGTGGGAGCCTGTAATTTCAACAACCTTGGAGGCAGAGACAGGAGAATCCTGAGTTCAAGGACAGCCTCAGCAATTTAGTGAGGCCCAAGGAACTCTGTGAGACTCTGTTGCAAAATAAAAAAATAAAAAGAGCTAGGATATGGCTCAGTGGCTAAAATGCTCCTGGATTCAATCCCAGATACAAAAAGAAAAGAAAGAAATGAAAAGGTATTCACAGAACAGGAACCGCAACTGGCCTGTAAGAATATGAGATGGCTTGGCCTCAGAGTAGTCAAAGAAATGTATAGAAAGACAAAGATACCATTTTGTTTCCTTGGACTAGCAAGTATCTATAAGCCTAGCAAAACTAAGCATTTACCAAGATGTAGAAAAACTGGGAATCTTCATCATTTGTAGCTGTATAAAGTTGTGCAACCTTATAGAGAGAAATTGATTGATCTTTATGAAAAGGTTCTCCAGATTTTCAGAATAGATGGGGTTTTTTTTTTGTTTGTTTGTTGTTTGTTTTTTGTTTTTCAGAAGAAACTTGAGCTATATTGACTGGGAAGCTGTGATCCATTTGGATTTTTGAAGTTATTTTTTGCAAGTATGTGAAAAGACATTTGGTTATTTTACCAACACTAATTAAAGCACATACTTGTGAAAGCACCAATTAGTGAATTTGCTCAATTTTAATGAGTTATATCCAGAAATCTTTATGGAGATGGGACACAAATGAATATGTAATTATGAATAACAATCAGATGGATAATTGAGAGATGTTTGCTGCTCTGCGATAGGAAAACAATTACCTATAACATTTATTTTCCTAAACAGACACTTATATTCTGGATATTCTCTAAACATTAATTGGCATATTTATTTTAACAACATAAATATGTTAATATCCGATTTTTTTTTTTTAGAACTACTTCAGTCTGTGTGCACAAGAAAATACAGAAGACTATAAACAAAGTGTTAAAATGTGGGGGAAAGAAATGAGTAGAGGAGGCAGTCCACTCCTGATTCCAGGCCTGATCAACCAGGCTTGCTTCTTCACATGTGAGGTTTTAGGATGGCATGGGACTTGGGGGCCGGGTCTGAGGATGTGGGTCTCCTCCTTGCAGTGTGTGTTACTGCTGGTTACTGATGAAGAGTCCTGCCCCCTCACATGTTGAAGTATAACATTAGGGAAGCTCGCTGAGGCAAGCATATACAGTAGAGTTTATTTAAAAGGGGGTAACATATGGGCTGGGGTTGTGGCTCAGCTTTTCATAGAGATCAACCAATTGGGTAAGTGTGCCTTCTCTCTCTCTCTCTTTTCTTTTCTTTTTTCTTTTTGAAGACATGCCTGCATCTGTATTCCTTTACATATGTCTAGAAGTTGTTAAAAATAAATAACATACCAAAACAATGTTTTAACACTAGTAATGTTCACTGAAAGAAGCATTATATGTCACACCTAAATATTATTAAGGAGCAGGGTTTGGTACATAATTTTGAAGTTCAATAAAAAAAATGAAAATTCAAAAATTATGATGTCATTTTATTTTATTTTTTTAATTATTTATTTATTTTTTAGTTTTTGGCAGACACAACATCTTTGTATGTGGTGCTGAGGATTGAACCGGGGCCGCACACATGCCAGGCAAGTGTGCTACTGCTTGAGCCACATCCCCAGCCCCAATGCTGTCATTTTAGGACAATGATAGTGGAGCATTAAACCGAGTGGCTTTCTCTGTGAAAGTACAGAGATCCTACCTCCATAAAGCCAGATCCCACAAAGCAGCAGTACTCCAGCTGCCTGAATGCCAAGTTTCAGCTTCCTAGATCATGAAAACTAGAATTTTCTGGCGCGGTTTTTTAAAGTTTCGATTTCTCAGAAAGTGAAATTAGCATGATCCCGCCCCCACCCCCACCCTCCTGAAACTCAAAAGAAAACTAGGAATGCAGACGTGCTCTAATCTGCCATCTTGAACCTCCCTCACTTAGGTAACTTCTTCACAGGCTTCCCTTCCCGCCAAAAGCACCTTTATATCTTCCGGGGTCTCAGACCTCAGCCAGCTTGCTTGGGACTGGAAGCCTGCCTCCTGTATCCCTGGCCTCAGCTAAAAAGTAAGTCCTATTCTAACGACCAGTTCTCACTGTGTATTCGGTGCAGTTAAGAAAAGCATGGGACTGGGGTTGTGGCTTAGTGATAGACCGCTGGCCAAGCACATGCGAGGCCCTGGGTTCGATTCTGAGCACCACATAAAAATAAACAAAATAAAGGTATTTTGTCCAACCGCAACTAAATTATATATATATATATATATATATATATATATATATATATATTTTTTTTTTTTTTTTTTAAGCACGGACGGACCCCCTGTACTCCCCTCCTCCTCTCTTGCAAGCTACTCTGGCCACAGTGTGATTTTTTTTTTTCCCCCTCCAGGACTGGGAATGGAATCCAGGCGCGCTTTACCACTGAGCTCCACCTCCAGTCAGGATCTTATTTTTTAATTTTGATACAGGGTATCGCTCATTGCCGAGACCGGCCTCAAACTTGCATCCTCTTCCCTCAACCTCCTGAGTCTTGAATCGCAGCCTCTTGAATCGCTAGGATTACAGCAGCGTATCACCGTGCCCGGCACACAGTGGATTTTCATTTTAGGGTTCTGTGAACTCTTTTTAAAAAAATACTTCTTTTTAGTTGTACACAACACCACTACTTTACTTATTCATTTTTAAACGTGGTGCTGAGGATCGAACCCAGCGCCTGGCATATGGCAGGCGAGTGCTCGTGCTCATGCTCCACCGCTGAGCCGCAAGCCCAGCCCCTGGGATCTCTTTCTAAGACCGTTCTTTCGTGGTTCTTTCCAGACAATCTGTACTTACCTTGGGAATGAAGATTCCCCAACGTTGGAACGCCGAAAGGAGAAGCAAGCTTCAGGCTTCATGATGTATTCACGAGGGCGCAGCTGGACTGAGGGCGCCGCTGGACTGAAGGTGCCGCTGGACTGAGGGCGGTGGTAACCTTCAGAGAGAAGAAATAGTTTTCAAGCTCCAGGAAGAAAAGAAAGCAAGCCCGGGAAGAATGCCAAGTTTCAGCCTCCTGGACCACGAAACTAGAATTTTCCCGCGTTTTTAAAGTTTCGATTTCTCAGAAAACTATAAACATGATCCCGCCCTCTTGGTGCTCATCTTTGGGAGGAGGGAGGGAATGCTCTTTACCCGAGTGAACTCTAGTTATTTGGCTTGAGGCTAAAGGAACTGTCTAGCAGAAGAAACACATTAAACCCTGGGAGAACAACGTCTGGAAAAAAATATTTTGGAATACACACTCAACTGTTATCCTCCAGGGAGGGGAAGAGTGGAGAAAGAATATGGAAAGGAAGGGGGATTTTACTTTGTACAATAAGCTTTTGTCAGTAAGGAAAAGAAAGAAAAAAATAAGCAAGAAAATAAGAAATACTAGGGTCAGAGAATTAAGAGTGCATTTTATTGACTTCCTCACTTAATTTTTCTAGTAGCTTCTATAATCCTGGGAGTTCTAGTTGGCACCCAGTTGAAATTCCTCCTGATGGGTGGGACACAGTGAGGTTTGCCTGTAATGTCAGGCACTCAGGAGGCTGAGGATCACAAGTTTTTGTGAGTATGTGTGATATATATTTTTTTTTTAATTTTTTTTTTTTTTTTTTTTTTGCGGTGTTAGGGATTGAACCCAGGGCCACAATTGTGCATGCAAGGCAAGCACTCTACCAACTGAGCTGGGAGGCTCACAAGTTTGAGGCCAGTATCAACAAATTAGAGAGCCGTATCTCAAAATGAAAAATTAAAAAGGCTGGGGAGAGCTGGGGGGTGCTCTGTGGCAGAGCACTTGCCTAGCATGTGTGAGGCACTGGGTTCAATCCTCAGCACCACATTAAATAAATAAATAAATAAATAAATGTCCATCAACAGTCATAAAATATTTAAAAGGGTGGGGGTGGGATTGCTGGGGATGTGACTCTGGTAGAGTGTCCCTGGATTCAATCTCCTGTACCAGAAAATAAAAGAAATTCCTATTGGTTGGGATGGTAGTGTAGCTCAGTGGTAAAGTCTAGCATGATCAAAGCCCTGGTTTGGACCCCCAGTACTGAAGGGAAAAAAAGAAGGAAAAGAAGAAGTTCCTGCTGGATCCCCTGTTATTGACCTCGCAGCTGATAGTGTAGGTGTCATTCTGATTGGCTGCTCCCACTCCATAGCTCACACAAGTCACTGTTCCCTTGAGCTTTTGTTCAGTTTCCTTTGGGTGCCCTTAGAGACTGCAAGAATTGTCACAGCATGGATTTAACAATCATTTTTATCGAGGAGAAAAGGTGTTGTGCAGTAGAGGGATTTGAATTAAAGATGCCACAAACCAGATCATTTATTCCCAGTCTTGGCTGCTTGTCAGATCCTTTTGACAGAATTTTCAAAAATTCAGATTCTAAATGGAGTTTCTCCCCAGGCACACTGACTATTATATATTGGTGCAATATTATTCAGAGGCAGAATAATATTACAGCTACATAACACACTTACATAGGGATAAATATACAAACAGAAGCAAACAGGCATCTTAAGAGTTTTCATTTGAAATCTTAACCATAAGTTAGTTATTATTGAAAAACTTATAATTTAGGAATTGATTCTCATCTTTGCCTTAATATTTCCTTTCAATATAATCTTCCCATCAGTGATATTAAGACATCTATATAGGATGACAGCTCTCTAAAATATCCTTCCAAGTCCAAATCTTCAAAGTCATACCAATCTTTTGTGGGGAGGGGGGTTGCATTGAACCCAGGAGTGCTCTATTACTAAGCTACATCCACAGCCCCTTTTATTTTTCATTTTGAGACAGGGTCTCACTAAGTTGCTTAGGGCCTCACTAATTGGCTGAGGCTGGCCTGGAACTTGGGATCCTTCTGCCTCAGCCTTCAGGTCACTGAGATTGCAGTCATGCACTATTGTGGTATACCAATCTTAATTGTGACTCATACCTTTTTATGGCTTAAAAGAAGTAAACCTTTGATGGCTTATTCATGGATGCAAAAGTTGTCGCTAAAGAGGTTGCAAAAAAATGTAACCTTCCCAAGATCCAGAAAGTTCATTCCCAGAATAAGCCAAAGAAATCAAAGACTGTTGTCACAGAAAGCAAGAACAGTGTTTGCAAAAACAAATTCTTCAGTGGGCCATGGGAATGTGAGAGGCCTCTGGTCACAGACCCAATAACCTGTGGCACCAGGTGGGCGATGCTAGGATAAGGGATTCCCAGCACTATCAAGATAATGGCATCTGAAACAACAAAGCCTCTTCTGAACTTGTGCTTCCTATTGAGACAAACTCCCCTGAGAACTGGCACAGTCAGATAAAGAGGGTGCTGCTTGTCACATGTTTTGTTCACAGCCTGTTTGGAGAGTCACCTGATAAAAGCCAGCATTTGCACCTTCTGGCTGGGAGAGACCAGAGAAAATGTTTTCATTCGTCACAAGGTCAGGCTCTTGGAACATAAAACAAGACAAAAGAATACTCTCATAATTTTTCTCTTTATGACGTAATAAAAAAGACAGAGATGAAGATAAAAAGAGAACTATTCCTGGGAGGCTATTGATCACACCCAGAAACTAATTCACTAGAGTCACAATTCAGAGAACAAAATTTTACAAATGTTTTTTTCCTGTCAATCTGCATTTGGAAAGGAGAGGACAAGGGGGGAAATTTTCTACCTTCCTCTCTTTACTGAGCATTACGGAGAGAGATCTGTGAGAACTGACTTTGGAAAGAATTCTGCTGTTTCTTGTTGGCTCTTTCAGGATCCCTTCCACAGGTTCCAGAGCAAATGGAGCAGCCCAACATTTTAGGATCTCATTGACATTGGCAGAAACTGTAGAGAAGGCGAGTTCTACTTTCTTAGGATTTTTAGCTGGGCCTGATAATTGACATGTGACAGATTAACAAGAGAAAAGTCATACAGATTGTTTTTCTTTTTGCAATACTGAGAATCAAACCCAAAGCTTCACATATGTGCTCTACCCCTGAGTTACACTCTCACTCCTTTTTATTTTTATTTTTTATTTGAGACAGGGTCACACTAAGTTGTGCAGGCTGGCCTCAAACTTGCCATCCTCCTGTCTCAGCTTCCTGAGTGGTTGGGATTATATACATGCCTGTGCCACCACACCTACTTCAAAATGCATTTGGGATGGCTAAAAATCTGCCACTTTGGGCTGGGGATATAGCTTAGCTCAGTTGGTAGAGTGCTTGCCTTGCATGCACAAGGCCCTGGGTTCAAGCCCCAACACCACAAAAAAAAAAAAAAAAATCTGCTACTGTTTATAACCTTTGGGCAAGTGGAGATGTGTTTTATAGACTTATTGAGTTCTGTCCCTGGCATGGCAACTACCACTCCTCAAGGAGGGCACAACTATCCATGCCAGCATCTGACAGTGGGGAAATGAGAGGAAAAGAATGGTTTTGTCCTAATTATGTCACTCTGTTGCTGAGTCCCCTGAAATGTTTGTACCCTATATTGCCCTATGTTTTATGGAGTTTGTGAAGAACTTTTCACCATTTGCCCACCCATCACCCTCTTCCTTTCTGTTGGTATGAGTTTAAGCTGCATCAGGGAATGAGCTGGAACCTAAGGGGCCCTACTGCACCAAGTATCAACTTGCCCTGGGCTGCTATGTGGAAAACGCCTCACCTACAACATGGGAGACTGTGGAGTGGGAAGAGACCAACCCAATCAGGATACAAAATGGAATGTACACTATGATTACAACTCTGCAAAAATATATCTGCCAACGGACTAATATTGGATATAAACAAGCAAAAATGAAAGTATAACTGCATGTCTGGTAAGAATTGGGATGAGTTTTCTTTTGTGGTTCTCTTTTTTTTTTAATCTTCCTGTCACTACATAGATTCTGTAATGAAAGTTATATATTTTTAAATTTCTTAGTGTAGACAATGCTTTTCTTTAAATATTTCCTGTTATGTCATTCATTTGCACAATTATATTGATTTGGGACAAAAATTTAGAAGCTAAATACAACCAAGTTGGTGAATACCAAAAATATATAAGTATATTCAATCCTAGTATCAACATAAAATACTATCAATATGGACACTTATGCCTTTCATTTTTATGTAGAGAGGTAGAAAAGCCAGTGGCGTATATGAACTATGGAGGCAAACAAAAGGATTTGAATCCTCGTTCAGAACTTACTAGTTCTGTGATCTTGAGTAAGGTATTCACCTTTTAAGTCCAGATTTCTCACCTACAAATCAGAGCTTATAAGGGCCAAATTGTCTTGAATTTCCCAAAAACAGGCTTTATTTAAATGTAGTATTTATTTCAATCTTCATCTTTTTCTTCAGGCATAGGTATGAACTTTTCCCTTTCTTTTACAGATGAGAAAATGGAGTCTTACAGAAGTAAAGCAATTTGCGAAGGTCATACAGCCAAGTAAGAAAAGAGTTGGAGGGCTGGGATTGTCGCTCGGTAGTAGAGCATTTGCCTAGCACCAGGTGAATACTGGGTTCCATCCTCAGCACCACATAAAAGTAAAATAAAAGTAAATGTCCATCTACAACTAAAAAAGTATTTAAAAAAATAGAGCTGGAATTCAAAGCCAGGGTCAATCTGACCCTAGGACTCAAGGTTTTAACAATACTTAATCCTAGAAAATGTTGTCTACATGTACAATGGAGTTTTATTCAGCCATAAAGAAAAAATGAAATTATGGCATTCAAAGGAAAATGAATGGAACTTGAGACCATCATGGTAAATCAAACTCGGAAATTAAGGGTTGGCCAGGTGCCATGACGCAAGCCTGTAATCCCAGCAGCTTGGGAGGCTAAAGCAGAAGGATCACAAGTTCAAAGCCAGCCTCAGCAAGAGTGAGGCGCTGAGCAACTCAGTGAGACCCTGTCTCTAAGATAAAATAGGGCTGAAAATGTGGCTCAGTGGTTGAGTGCCTCTGAGTTCAATCCTCAGTACCCCTCTCCCCCCAAAAAAGAAAGTTAAGAGTCATATATTTTCTCTCATATGCAGATGCTTGAGAGGAAAAAAGAAAACAGAGGTGGGGATGGATCCCCTAAAAATCAAAGGGAGATCAGTAGAGGAAGAGATGGGCAATGGGAAGTGAGGGGGGAAGTGCTGGGGAGTTATATTGGCCAAATTATGTTGTTATATTGTGTGCACATACAAATATGTAACAACCAATCTCATCAATATGTACAACTATAATGCACCAACTAAAAAAATGTAGGGAAAAAACAGTACCTTATCTTGCCTTACATAATTAAGTCCTGCTATACATAATTCAAAAGGTGGCCGGGAGGTTAAATGATTTATTTAAAACAATTTTCACAGTGTTTGCCACACAGTAAACATTTAATACAGGTGAGCCATAGACATATATGTCAGAGAAGACAGGAATGTAGGTGTAAAGACATTCTTAGGTATTAACAATGACTTGTGGGGTTTGTCATGTCTGCCTGGCTAGGAAAGGGGCCTGCGCTTTCTTCACTGTCCTCAGTCCTCCTTCTCTCATCACCTGCCTCTTCCAAGATATACAACTGGGCAAAGTAGACAGCCTTTCCTGAATTAAAACAGGAACTTTAAATGCAAAAGGCCAAGATAATTCTGAAATAGTAAACAATAATAAGGGAAAATATAGCCAGGTGCCATGGTACAAGCCTATAATCCCATCCATAATTCTCCACATTATGCTTTCCCTCCAAGGTCTTGGTGCAAGGTGATGAACCTTGGTTTTACTCTCCATGGTCCCTTGCGGTCACCTTTTTCTGAGATATGAATATCTATCTTTTGTGATCAGAAACTGATGTCAGCATTTTGTTCTATTATTTCAGGCAAATAAATAAAACTATACAGCAATTGGGTTTTCTATGCACTTTCCATCAGTATCGACATAAATAACGTGATTTATTCAGACCACCCTTTTGCTCAAGAAATTCCATTTTGGGGAATTTATAAATATACTAGAAAAGGAAAACATTGTATGCCTATATGCCTGGCTTAATTTTAGTAGCATAAAGTTGCTATTGGCACAAATAAAAAGGAAGTGTCTATTGAAATTTCATTATTTGGCTAGGATGTTGTACAACTACTAAAAATTATAATTTTGAAGACCATCCTAGAACATGGAGAAATGCCTACATTAGTTAGCCACTGTTACTAAACAAACAGCCAGTCATAAAATAATAAAGATTGTTTTAGTCAGCCTTTTTGCTGCTGGGACTAAAAGACCTAACCAGAACAAATATAGAGGAGGAAAAGTTTATTTGAGAGCTCACAGTTTCAGAGATCTTAGTCCACAGAAGGCTGGCTCCATTCCTCAGGGCTTAAGATGAGGCTGAACATCACGGAGGAAGAGGGTGGCAGAGGGAAGCAGCTCACAGGGTGATCAGAAAGCAGAGAGAGAGAGAGAGAGATCTTCACTTGTTAGATACAAATATATACCTCATAGTCACACCCACAATGCCCCACTTCCTCTATATGTCACTCAGCTAATCCCAAAAAAAAGGTTTAATTCACTGATTGGATTAAGGCTGTCACAACCTGATCATTTCTTCTCTGAACTTTCTTAAATTGTCTCACATGTGAGCTTTTGGGGGACACCCCACACCAAACCATAACAAATGTTTATTTCTCATTCATGCATTTTCAGGTCAGTTGGGATTTGTCTGATTTAGTTAGGATTGTTTGAACTTGGCTCAGGCCATGAGTTGAGTTGAAGTTGGCTTCATATGTCTCTTATTCCTTGGTGACCGATGGGCCATCCAGGGCCATGTGTTTCATATGACAGAAACCCAAGAGAACAAATTCAATGCTAAAAACATATATGACATGTGTCCACATCACAGATACTAATATTTCATTGGCCACATCAAGTAACATGGCGCCACGTCCACATAAGAAAATATCCCCAGCTCTAATGTTAGAAACTGCAAAGGGTCAAGACATAGGGAGGGGTGAATTATTTGGAACAATAATACAATCTGAAGCAATGCTTCACAAAATGTTAAATACAAAAAAGCACATAGATAGGATATAAAGCTGATTACAAAATTTGATCATAACTCTGTAAAAGTGTTTTTATATCAATAAAGAATGGAAATAAATAAGCAAACTGAAAAAAATCATGCCTGGAAATTGATACGATTTAAGTACCTTTTATTTTTTTTCTCCATTTCTCAAACTTACATGACAATATTATATTACCCTCCTTTTTTATACCTTTATTTTATTTACTTTTATTTTTATATGGTGCTGAGGATTGAACTCAGTGCCTCACACATGCTAGGCAAGTGCTCTACCACTGAGCTACAGTCCCAGCCCCTACCCTCCTTTTTAAAAGGAAGTTTTTGAAGCTTCTCACAGCTAGAAACTCTTTTATCTGAATAATTTTGTTGTTTTATCCATCATATTAAGGCAGTATAATAGGAAAAAAAAAAAAAAAAACAAGAAACATCCCATACTTGAAACAATAGGCGGCAGGGGAGAAGTTTTTCCATTCAATCCTTGTCCAGGACAGCCGGACAGTTACAACTGGTCCCTTGGTGGGCCGGAACAGTTCAAAATGTCAGCTAAGAGAGTTTCTCCAAACCCTGTCTGCTCTTCCCACCTCTGGGAGGCTGAGGACCTGTATCTGAAATTATATCCAAGAGTATTTCCACATTTTTTTTTCCTGGATTGAAGCCTCCTCAGTATCTATCAAGTTTCCCAAACTTTTCTAAAAGTTAAAAACAGTCTGAAAATAGGAATACTTCCAAAGCAATTTAAAAACCCATATTATAAAATTACACAATGAGTACAGTGGCTCTTGCCTGTAGTCCCAGCTATTTAGGAGGCTGAGATAAGGGGATCATTTGAACCCTGAAAGTTCAAGGCTTTGTCTTAAAAAAAAAAAAAAAACAGGGCTGGGGCTGGGGCTCAGTGATAGAGCGCTGGCCTAGCACACACACACACGTGAGGCACTGGGTTCGATCCTCAGCACTACATAAAGATGAAATAAAGATATTGTGTGTCCACCTACAACTAAAAAGTAAATATTAAAAAAACAAAATCAAAGCAGGGTGCTGTTGTGCATGCCTGTTATCCCAAGACTCAGGAGGATGAGGCAAGAGGATTTCAAATTCGAGGTCAACTTTAGCAACTTAGCAAGACCTTGTCTCAAAGAGGAATAGGGATGTAACTTAGTGGCAAAACACTCCTGGTTCAAAACCCAATATCCCCCCCCCCAAAAAAAAAAAAACCCTTACAAAGGCAAGATTTTATTGAAGGGCACAAGATTGGCTCATCCATTTGGGGAGCTGACTAAAGAAAGGGAACTGATTTTATTTCTAATATATTTCCCATACATTGGAAAAGGGATATGCCAGGAAGATTTACATAGATTCTGCTAGGATAACAACAACTTCTGTGAATAGTCTGGAATGAATTGGATGCTATCTTCAATATATTCTTTTTAAAGCAATAGAATGGCCACAAAAGCCACTTCACCATCAGGGGGGTGGAAAAAGTTTCATGGAGGAGATGGGCATTTGAAGCACTTGACTGAAGAGTAAGGATTTCAAAAGTGGAAGGGAGAAAAAAGGTTAAAGACTGAAAAAAAACTGTCAGGGACAGACCAAGAGCTAGGAATGTGTGTGAGTGGTATAGGTGATAGAGTTGCCACCCAGGATCCCTATAAAAGAGCTCTGAGGGTTGGACTATAAAATCAACACCCAAATCATCATGAAAAGGATCAGAGAGGTGCAAAGGCCTCTCATAGACAAGTTTCAGGTCAGCAGCAGTGTGAGGCTGTGTAGCATACATGAGTGTATTGACACGTGTAGAAATGAATGTAAGCAAAGTGTGTATATGTTGCGGTAAATGAGGGAAAGACTGGAGGTCAACCCAGAATCTTTAGAAATTAAGGGGAAAAAATTTCACCTAGGCAGACAGTATTGAACAACTAATGGTCCTTGGCATTCTAAATTTGAGTTAGCTTATAAACCTGACCTGCATAGTCCTTGTACTGAAAACATCTCTATTTTAGAAATGATTGCAATATAACAATAGATATTTCAATAATCTGATGTAGCCTGAGTACTCCTTACATTTGAGCCAGATTACCAACTCCCCTTATTGTAGGGTTCTGCTCTTATAATTTGGCTTCCTATGCTATTGTTGAATGCACAGATTAGCAAAAGCCTTTGACCCAATTTGTTATAGCAATCCTCAATGTGAATTAACAAAGTGGCATTTTGATTCATGCATTGGTCTTGGTTAGCATAAAGCCATCCCCTAGAGACTGATCTAGACTTGCTGCAAAGAGGAAATCAAGTTCTGAACCTGTAAAGCTTGAGACCTATAACTAGCTAGATGCTAGCCCAGGTGCCACCCTTGAGACCCAGTCAAAGTAATGGGTCTAGAAGACACCCTACCACCCTGACAAAATAGGCCAGTGAGGTACATTAGGTGTTGGGGTACATTAGGACACTGGAGGTGTAGTTAAGGTTGTGGTTAGGAGAGTCACTCAGGGCACAACATGGGAAGCCTGGAGAACTGGCTTGGTTTGAAGGCTGTGGGGACTTACAGGAGGTAAGTGGTAGCAGAGGATGTCATAAAAGCAGTTCTCTGAGGATAAACTGCTTGCATGACAGAACAAAAGCTGGATTGAGTTAGGAAGACTGGAGACAGGGGATCAATCCTAAGTCTGCTGTAATTGTACAGGGAGGAGAGGTGGACCCGGAAAAAAGCAGTGCCACTGCAAGCAAGGCTCAGCCCCAAGAGACATTTCTGTGGCTCCAGGCCATACTGAGGTGCCTTGGTTTCTTTACATATAATATTATAAAAGAAAAGCTGCCATCTGTCAAGGAGGAAAGCTCTGCTTTTTCTGGCTCCCTGTGTTATTTATAATAATTTTCAGAAGGCTGCCCTCTTTTCATAAAGGAGGTAGAGGTGTTTAATGGCTCTTGAGGCAAAGCAGAGCTTATGAAATTTCTCAGACTGGGAACATTCTGAACTAATCCCGAACACGATATTTCTCTCCAGTCCTGAAAACTGCTGAATACTGTCTAAAACAATATGATTGCCCCCAACACCAATGGCACGGCTAAACAGAACTTCTGTTGCTCCATGGTCCTTAAATGCTGTAAGAAGTGCAAGCTTATAGCGTCCTGTGTCCTCTACTCTCTTGCACAGAATTGCTACATCTTTGGGCCTATAGCCACATTGGAAGAGGCTGTGACATCTTTCTACCACATAGTTTGCTATTTGTTCTATGGTTAGGTTAGTCTTGGTTTCAAACACCCCACGTAGAGCCTGGGCAAACATTGCTTCCTCATAGGATGCTTCTTGGAATAATGCCAATGTGTCCAGAGACATGCTGGAGGGAGGGTTTGCTTTGATCATCTTCATTTCTTCTTTCATGACATTTGCTATTTCCAGAGCACAGTGGATCCCGTCGGTGATTGTTTTTCGAGGAAACTGAGCAGAAGGAGGGGGAAGGCCATTGTCATCTGCATGATGGACTTGGAAAGGGTCCAGAAAAATCCAGAGGATCCCATGGTGAAGGTCTTCACTTCCAACCCCCTTCACCTTAGGGTGGGTGATACTTCTAGCCTTCAAGTACCAATCACCATATTTACTGCAGAAATTCTCAGTCTCATCCATTACTATGTGTTTAATCTTTGGGAACTCCTTTTGCATGAAGGTTTTCTGGGTCACAGCATGGCAGGTGGTTTTTTGACTGTAAGGATGAAAAAGAGAAGAGGGTTTCAGACATATAAACCAAGGGAACACTAGCATTCATTACTCTGTGGATTGAAATCAGGCTAATTCTCTGCAGACAGATTCGTCAATTCAATAGTGTTGTGAGTAGTGCAAAACTGCTTAACTTACAAGCTACCTGATACATAGAATGCAGAATTTTACACACTCCTCTTTGGGGTCATCTAGTTAAATATGCACGTCAAATTTTCATTATTATAAAATAGGTAGATTTTATTGTTTCTATTAGCAGTCCATTTCTACTGCTTGACCATCTTTTTTTAATATTTATTTTTTTAGTTTTAGGTGGATACAATATCTTTATTTTATTTTTATGTGGTACTGAGGTTCGAACCCAGTGCCTCAGAGGTGCTAAGCGAGCACTCTACCACTTGAACCACAACCCCAGCTCCACTTGACCATCTTTTGAAGATGAGATCCATTCAGCTAAAGGAAATTCCCACAGTAATTTGTACCTTTTACTACCATTTCTTTGCTTTCTGTCTTTTTTAGGGCTGGAGCATAGTCTTCTAGAGGCATATCATAATCTTTATAAGCACAAAAGTTACACACTAATCAAATTCCTCTAAAGCAAATTCTATTTCTTCACTTACTCATAGAACAAAACTGGAAACTTCTTTAGGTTTGGGAGGCTTTTTCTCTCAGCTCAATGTCTCTTTATGTTGTAGCATATGTATATGTATGTGCATACTTATATAATTATAAATATGTTTGGGTGTGTATATATATAATCATATATACATATAACTTCCCCCTTAACAAATTTGGTTATTTCTTACCTTCTCTAATTTTAATGTAAGTAACAGTACACACTCCTACAGATTCCCTAATTTTGTTTAATGCAGTTCCTGAGCCTTTTTTCTCTATGCCTTGATCCATAACTGTCCTTCTCTTCCAGTTTAGACTGTTGTGAGCGCTTGAAGAAGTGATTCTTAGCTATCTCTGTATCCCATCACCCCCATCCCCCTAATTTGTTGAATTAGCCATTTAAAATTTTTTGTTGTTGTAGATTGACACATAACCTTTATTGTATTTGTTTTTATGTGGTGCTGAGGATTGAATCCAGTGTATCACACATGTCAGGTGAGCACTCTACCACTGGGCCACAACCCTAGCCCTGAATTAGCCTTTTGACAGGGATCTTTATATATATATATATATATATATATATATATATATATATATATATATATATATATATATATATATATATTTAGTTGTACACGAACACACAGTATCTTTATTTATTTTTATGTGGTTCTGAGGACCAAACCCAGTGCCTCACACATTCGAGGCAAGCATTTTACCACTGAGCTACAGCCCCAGCCCTTGACAGGGATCTTTTTAAAACTAAGCCATAAAGCTTAATAATGAATATAGTCCTGGAGTTGTGGCTCAGTGGTAGAGCGCTTGCCTGACATGTGTAAGGCCCTGGGTTTGATCTTCAGCTCTGTAT